GTGTGTGTGTGTGTGTGTGTGTGTGTGTGTGTGTGGGACTTATTTTTCCCTCAAACTTATTTGTGCAGTTTTCTCAAACGTACCTGTTAATTACAGCCTGATCTGCAGCGAGTCGAAACACACGTGGTTTTGGGTTTCCCTCCTGAGGTTTTGGTGTTATTGTGCCGACTTCAACAAAGCCGAAACCCAGTTTGTACAAACCATCTACGGCCTCGCCGTGCTTGTCGAAGCCCGCTGCGATCCCAATGGGGTTTCTGAACTTCAACCCYAGTACGTTCACTTCCTGTTGAGACACAGGAAGGACTTCAGAGCTCAGTGTTGCTGAGAAGCACCCTGAAGAGGCGGCGATGTGAAGTGCTTACCAATGACGCGGGGTCCCGGTAGCGGTTCAGAGGAACCAGACCCATGCCTATCGCCCTCACTGCCAACACATGGGCCGTTTCTGGCCCCACGATCCTCTGCAGCAGAGGCATCAGCTGGTTGGCGTAGAAACGCTCGTCTCCGACCGCAGTGAGGTAAGAGGCAAACAAAAGGCTGCCTGAGCCGAGGACCTTCACTGCATCTTTGAGGCGTTTCTGCAGATGACAGCATGAAACGTGAAATGTGTTAGATGTTCTGCACTTTAACAAGAACACAAACAATTAAAAAAGGATTCGAATTTTGCAGTGATTTGGTTTCCGCATTYCTGGAAACTCTTATTGTGCAACTCCAGCAACATCCACAATAAAAGCTTTGTCCTACAGAGGAGCAATAAACTGTAAGGCCACAATGAGTCCTTGAACACCACACAAGTTATATTACACCAGGGAAACAGAATATTTCACTTGTACTCATTGGTTATGGAAAAACTGAAATATACTGTATATTATCATAGTTTCTATTTGAGAGATGTGTTGGGTTTTAACTTGTGACTGACTTTTAAAAACACCTTATCTCTTTTATTTTTATAACACATTTTTTATCAACATGGTCAAAAGTTTCAGTCTCTAGATGTGTAGAGGTTTAGTAAGAGACTGCCGTTGCCATCGGTCTGGTAAACAAAATTGTGAATGTCTGAGCACACACAGAAAACCACATCAGGCCGTGCTGTTCTCAGTCCTTTGGCAGGACTAATACTGAATGACAAGGAACTAGGTTTTAATGAAATAAGAGAAGTGAATTATTTAAACTAAAATAAAACTTGAGAAACTTGCCTAAGATTCAGGCACAAATGACTATTTGTATTTCATAGTAAAACATAGTGAACTAATCCAGTGGTTCCCAAACTTTTTATCTTCTGACCCACAAAATATTCATGGCAAAAACTTGTGACCCCAAATATTCCTGTTCTGAGTACATTAACTTCGTTAATAACCCTAAAAACACAGAATTTTGGACAATCTAAACAGCTTGTACACAAATATAAATACTTATATATAC